GGTACTCAGTGCGTCCCTCACTGGCTAGTAAGTTCCTCATGTTCTCAGGTAGACATCTAACAAACGTGGTCAAGAGGAACTGGTCACTGTAGTTGATGCCCGGGACGAGGATCAGGCTCTCGACGGTAGTCGTAAGCTCCCTAACTGACCTGAACTTGCGTTGGTCCAGTTTATTAATGGCCCTTTGAGCCTCCTGTGGGTTATGCCATCGAGCTTCTACCATCTCCATGAATTGGTCTAAAGTCAAAGACTTAGCCCAATCCGCCATGCGTCGCCTGTACCCGGCCTCTACAACTACACCATCTAACCATTTGGCTGCCTTACCCTCTAGGTAAGACGCCGCAGGTACCACTTCGTCCTCAGGCAAGGTCCTTTTGGCCTTCACCCAGACCGGGACGGTCCTCAACCATGTGTTGAGTTCTTCGTCCTTTCTCTCGCCTGAGAAGGCAAGAGGTGGTTTCATTGGGGTCTTGGGATACCATTGACCTTGCGGCTGTCCTTGTGGAGGACTAGCCTGTTGCGGTGGTATAGCAACCACCGCTGGACCCGGAGAAGAAGATGCAACAGTTTGTGCGCCTGCTGCAGATGTGCCACTTGGCTGTGTGCCAGCTTGAACCGGAAAGGGGCCTGACATCGCCGATAACGGCAACGGCCATTGTGCTGGAGGCCAGTATCCTGGCCTTGTCAAAGCGTTCAGGATCTAGTCTAGAGTGCTTTGCATGAAGTCGAATCTGCTATCCACATGCGCGTGCAGCGACAACACATTCTTCTTCAACACTTTCATCTGGGCATTCATTGTTGCCTCATCCAAGCCCTCTAGTTCAGCCTTGTCAGCCTCTAAAGTTTCGAGTCTGGTTGCTCTAGTTTTCATTTCATTTTCTCTATCGGTCGCCTCTTTCAGGTCCTTCTCTAACTTACGGCGAAGCCTCTCGACCTGTTGGATCTCTCTGAGCTCCCGCTCACGTGCGGTCATGGGGCTGAACTGTGAGCCTGCCATTTGACTTGAAGACTGTCTAGAACCTGTGGAACCGGAAGTGTCTGAGGAACTTGTGAAACTCGTTGGCATTCCCAACGAGCTCCCACTAGTCCCTGACGAGGACGCAGATGATGACGCAGCAGAGCTTGCGCCGTTAGCCATCGCAACTGCTCTGGCTGTTGTTGCCTGCTCTCTTGCTGCTCTGTTTGCTTCTGCTATCCCCGCTGCTAGCGCACGGGCTCTACGTATCCTTCTTTCTTCTCCCGGCTCTAAGGCCTGAAACACGTGCGGTACCCCTAGTGCCCGTGCACGTGTTAGTCTCCTGTTGTCAGCTCTATCATCAACTGGATCTGACCCACTCATTAGTTAGAAAGATAGTGTCTGCACTAGAATCCTCTAGTGGAATCCTACCGCAGCATGTATCTGACCGACACAAAATTTTCTATATATAGTTGTGTCCGGTGAGTCCCCTACTATACCGAATCAAGTGGCATGTCTACAACATTCACACAGATCGTCTACATAGTCTAGATGCACCCTGACTGGTTCACTTACAGCAGCATTAGTTAGTACTGGCTATGGTAGCATATAACAGTCTTACACTAATCTGTCTGTGAGGTTAGCAGTCCGTCAACCAACTTATCAAAGGTACACAAAAAACAATGTAGCAGATGTATGATTGATGGGTATGGTTGTGTATACAGTTGAGCACCAATTGAAACCTACCCTCCCCTCAATCCAACCATCCGAACAGCATCATTGAGCAGGCAGTGTCTTCGTGTGCATTTCGGCCCACCCCTGTGCCCAAGTTGTCACCGAGCAAGTCAGTCCCACCACTCTTATTTACCCTCGTACGGCGACGAGCCTTCCTGTCCATGTGATCTGGCTGATCAGGAGGAATTTATAGAGCGCCCCCATCTCTTCAAGAATTATTTAACGTCGCAGTCAGACGACGATCACATCCAAATTCACAATGAACTCCCAACCAGAAATATTTATAGACGGTCTGGTAAGCGTCTGTCATGGGCTGGCATACCCGGAGCAACTTCTATTAGCGCAGCAAGTGCCAAACAGGACAGCAGCCATCGCATGCATGGACTACTCCCTGTGGGTTGGCATGGTGACCGTGACCCAAGTGCTTCAACCAGGGCCCTTCAGAGGCACCACCCTTTCTCCTTCCAATATGCTTCCGGGAAGATTGTCGTCTCTCAAGGTAGCGCGCTCACGACACCTCACCAAAAGAGAGGACTCTCAAGTTGGACTCACTTCCTCACAGTAAGAAGAGATTGAGAGAGTAGATAAGGTAAGGGAACAACGTACCTGGAGATAGCTGCCCCCAACCACGAATTTCTCACCAATTGAGCTGATGTTGCATTTGATGACCGGCCATGACCTCGGTACCACCCACAACGCAATGCAGTGCCACCTTAGTCCAATGTCACATCAGCATGCTCTCATCATCAATCAAACATTCCGCTGTAACCCACGACAAACAATGCCGTAATAGCCTTCCGGTGCACCCCTCTCTACCCAGGGCGTGCACCTAGTGTAGCCTGACGTCACAAGTACCCACTGCGAAGAAGCATCATCAACGCACCAAGTCTGTATAACGCCAGCATGCCAAAGGTAAGTCGCGATCAAACCATCTCCATACCAAATTGCAAGGAACATGAGTATGGACGAAGCACAAAAATCCAGAATGCAAAATCACACTGAAGTCCAAGTATTCAAAGCCAAAACAGATAGCCCATGAAACCGAGTAACCATCCCATTGAGAATGATACAGAAGAATCGTGAGTCAATGTCCATGCCTAACAGGGCAACACCAACAGCATAACCCAAATGTAACTCTCTCTTGTGAATGGCGCCAGGCGCCCTATCTACTCTACAGCCTATCCTACAACTACAGCAATGAACAGCAACCAGACAACTTGACTACCAGCAAGTGATGATGTCAACACCAATGCAGACCTCCACCATCACCAGGTACGTGTCCTCTTCCCCACACTCTCCCTTGTTACCCACACAGCGCCCTTCACCTCCGAAGTACCACCTTCRCCCTCACCTCCCCTGCACMCTCATGCGGCCCGGCTATGGCCGCYAGTGCCCTGCACGCAGGCAGCGCCCTACCGCCTAGCGYTGGCCTGCCCTGTCTTAGCGCAGCACACTTGCATCTGCGCAGCGTGCCCGMATATGCCAGCATTGGCCAAGGTCCCTGCTGCCTCGCCCTGCTTGCCTATATGCCAATGCAGCATGTGGGCGGCCTCCCTTCAGCCTGCGACGGGGACCCAGAGGCTGAAGCCTTCCTGATACAGTTGGGCCCCGGAGCAATGCAGTTGCGCCTTTCTTCTCAAGGCCTGCGGCCWGATTCAKATAGTGGGCCGATTTTCCCTTTGGCATTTCSGCCTCTCTACCCAGCATGCACTGTCGGCCTTACGTTCGAGTGCCCAGGGCCTAACTAACTCAGAGGCCCTGGGCATTTCAGCATTTGCTGAAATCCGAGACTCGGTGCACTCCAACCAACTGGCGTGCTGCAACTGTATAGACCCCACTACACGAAATGTTGGTCGAGAGGGCTCTTGTTGATTTGCTGGCCCGCCTTCACTTAGGGCGGGCACTAGGCTTGTTGGGGCCTTAGCCCAGAACATGTACGTCATGGCAAGGCCCCTACTTGAGGGCTCAATTCTCACACTTAGATCTATTCATCATTAATTGCAGGTTTCCCATGTGGTATAAGTGACACTCCGATTACACTGGTGCATCCAAAGGGACCCAACTAACTCTCGGTTGTTATGGACTAAGCACCCCATTCGAATGTATCCACCACCCATGAGTCTTACTCCCCCAGTTTATTACTATGTGTCATGCTTGAGAGAATCTATCCATCAAGGATTTGATTTCCTCCACATTGGACGTAGAGACTTTTATCAGAGGCTATGGAAGACATTATCCACCCAGCACAGATGGGCTTCATCGGAGGATGCAAAATCCAGGACAACATCTTGCTGGTCAATGAGGTCATTAAACCACCAGTACTTGGCCCAGCAATCGGCCATGGAAAAAAATAGAGTAGAAACTTTTCTAGTCAAATGAATTTGGGTGCTCCTGTAGTAGCCCGTTTCCTAAAATCGTGGCGCGTTAACGGGCACGACTCTAGGAAGTACTGAGCGCTCCTGTAGTAGCCCGTACAGTCAAGACAATCTAAGCATAATGCAACCATTATCTTTGTAGACTTTGAAAAAGCGTATGATCACGTTGATTGGTCCTTCCTAGACAAGTGTATGGAGATAATGAACTTTGGGCCGACCTTTAGAAGGTGGATTGAGATCCTACATCAGAATGTCACAACAACAATCCAGGTGAATGGCAGACTGGCCCCTGCCATCCACCTGGAGCAGTCGGTGTGACAAGGGGACCCCATTGCCCCTTTCCATTCCGTTATCGTCATAGAGGCCCTAACAGTGAATTTCAGGGCCCATAAGTTGTGTTTCCCCCCGTACAGATACGGGGAGTATGAACGGTCGTACGACCATACGTACGGGCCCCTCAAGCAGTCATACAGGCCATACGTACGGCCGTACAACCCGTTTCGGGGGCCTTCTCGGGGGGNACACACACACACACACACACACACACACACACACACACACACACACCTTTTCATCAATACAACGATTGACGCCACGAAATGCGGCAAATCCAGCGCAGACGGCCCGCCTCATCTGTGGCAACCATTTCGCAAGCAGAATCATATCGTGCGGTCTGCCTCCATCATCTTACGCAGAAGAAACCGACATATAAAAAAATAAATAAATAACAAAACAAAAAAACAATCTTCATGGCTACACCGACCGCAATGGCAGCAACGTAATCAAGAAACGATTCGATGGGCTACATCGTCGAACGACCACGGATGGCGGCAGCGATCTCCAGAAGTGCGTGACACATCATCCTCTGCGTCTCGTCGGACGCCGCATAGTGCGCTTTTTGGACCGCTACTTCCTGCGCGAGTATGTCGCACTGCCGTTCCGGTATGTCGCACTGCCTCGATGAAATGCTTCATTGCCGTTTGCTGGACGATTCAATCGTCGACGACATCAGTTCGCCATGGCGGTCCATGACATCAGCGATGGTCTCCAGCGCCTGTTGGCGCGCATTCTTACGCTTCCCGCCTCCGGCAACACTGCAAGCGTTCACGTCAGAGTCCCTTGCAGAAGATCTTTCTTCAGGGCAGCCGTCACCACCGCCCTCACTATCAACAGACTCCCCACCATCCGCTCCTCTCCTGGGCAGCTGCACCCCGTCCGGACTGTCGGTGTCGGTGATGTTGGGAGGGAAAATAGTATGGTTCCCCAACATGCCGGAGTGGATCTCGTTGTACAGCACCCTCTCCATCCGGAACTTGAAGTTGTGCTCCTTCCTTTCGTCGTTGGACAACTTGAAGAAATCTGGCCGCCCGCTCGCGTTCTGAAACCTCTGTATCTTCTTGTAGTTTTGGAACAAATTGTCCCATTTCTTCATGCAGTCGTCTGCGTCTTTAGGGCTCCCACCGTTCGCCATGCGCTTCGCAATGTCGACCCACTTCCACTCCTTCGTCCGCATCTGGCCGTAATTGTGGCCCAGCCCAGCGAGGTGCATATCCTGCTCCCGCTTGCATCTGACGAGGAGCATCTGCTCGTCCGTCGACCAGTACGTCGCAGACTTCCCTCCGTCGTCAGTGACGCCACCTCTACCGCCACGGCCAACGGATCGACCACGGCCACCACGGTTGCTGCGTCCAATACCCCTACCACCCGTCTTCCCCACAGGCCGAACAGCATTGTTGTCGTCGTCGTCCCCCGCTTCTACTTCCTCCCTGAATCCGTCGTCGGCATCGTCACCGCCACACCGATCGTCGTCGCCGCCATCGCTGTGTGCTCGCATGTTCGACACGCCTCGAGTGATGTTCTCCACACTGACTCCTGAACCCGCCGGTGGTCTGCAGGCGCCCTCGTCCCTCCCTTCGGATGGCGAGGCCGTTGTTCGGTTCAGCATTGACGAGCGTGCACCGCTGGTGCGTAGGGACGCTGCTGCGGCAGCAGTGCGCACATCCCAGTTATCCGTCAATCGTTCCCCGGACGGCGCACTCGATACATGCTGCCGGGCTGTTGGCGAAGACCTGACACCGCCAACGACGGACGCGCCGCCACGTACTGTGGAAGGTCCCGTCTGCTCCCTTCGAGGCTGCTGCAGGCCACGTGCGGAAGCATGGGCGGCGGTGATGACCGTGCGGCTCGCCTCCCTGGCACCGCCAGAACTGAAGCCGAACCGGAGATCAACTCCCCCGTCGTCATCGTCTCACAACCCTTGCTGCAGGAGTGACGTGTACTCGCCTTGTTCGCTGCTCGCCGACCCGCCTACGAGCACCGTCTGCGACAACAGCTGCGTCGACCCGCTGGCGAGAGGAAACGTTGGAAGTTCATCCCCCTCCGGCTCCTCGTCCGAGGGAGGCAGCGGCGTCTCCCACGACGGCAGATGGCTGTACATGGACGGGTCGTACCGCCGTGAAGGCTCCGTCGTCGCAGGTCTTCTTCCGCCTTCAGCTGCAGGCAGAATAGCGTGTGCCTTCATGCCCGCCATGGGACGTTCCTCTTGAAGCACAGCGCGTTTCGTCGACGCCCTGCGCTTTCGACGTTGCTTCCACGGCCGGCACGACAAGCACACGTGGAGGAAGACGACCACCACGAGCAGCAGCAAAGGCAATCTCCTCTGCAAATCTGCCATGAATTCGACGTCGACAGGCGACCTTGCACGTGACGTCCTGCTGAACTTTCTCCTTGCATGCCTGCGGACAAGGCCGCTGGACCTTCATATGTCGTCGACCGCCAGCGAAGACGACAAACGTTGGCGCCTCCGATTCAAAAACTGACCGTTGACGCCCACGCCGCCTCCGTGTGTCGTCGTGCAGACGTCCGGGAACTCCTTCGTTGCCTGCACCCGAGCCAACGGTCTGCAACGGCCGCCCGCCTGGCCACGCTTCACCCCGCCTGCTCCACCCCACCGTCCAACGGCTACCGATGGGGGTCGTTGTTGTCGTCGACCGCCAGAAAACCTCCCATGTCCGCCCACCGGCCCGATGGACCTCTCCTGGACCAGCTCCTCCGTGTCGACGGTGCCATTCTCACGACGCTACGACTCCGTGAAATGCGGGAATCCTAAATTTTTCAGTAGGTCCGGGACTACTGGAAAATTTAGGACGATTTGGCTAGGGAATCCTAAATCTTTTAGGACGAGTCCTAACGCCGTTTTCACATTTTCGATTCCTGCGTACCATTTAGGACTGCGTGTAACCAAGACGCAATCCTAAAAACAGGAACTTTTAGGAGTGTCTAACGAGACCCTTAGCAAGCAAAGGACTGAGATAATACCTCCTCAGGGCCGCTTTGGGGCTGCCGGATGGAATCCGTCAGTCCAGTCTGAGCCCACCAGTATCAACTCAGTAGAGGCAGTTTTGAAGACTATTGACCTTATCTGCAACAGATCTGTACATAATACATATGTAGCTCCACCATCATCCATGAGTAACTTCATTGAACCGTGCATTGCCAAGAGCCGAGCCTTGAAGTGTGGAACTGTGTTCTGACTCATCTACATAGACTTGCTGTCCTTTTTCTGTTTTCTTTTGCGGACAGGTCAGATTTTCGGTTGCAAAGGGCGGAAGAAAAACAAAGAATAGCAATTTGGTCATGGCCCGGCTTTAGCAACGCAAAAGAAACGGGGGCCAGCTCTTTCCTCATGGCCCAATTGGAGGACCTGTCCCACACCCAGTCCCAGGCCATCAGTGCACACCATGAAAGGCCTAGGCCTTGAGGACCTGTTCCAAGGCATGTCCACACAACGGATCGACCCTGCCATTAATGAAGGACTGGTTCGTCTTCACCCTTCTGTCATGCCATCTTCGCCTCGCCCTCCTGTTTCTCCTCGCCCTCCTGTTCAAATCCTTTTCCTTTTCTTTCCACACTGCCATCTACAGACTATTTAGGTACTATTTAGGTATGAGAGGATGCTGAGTGACTTATGTGCTTCTCTCTCACTCTTTGACACCTTCAGGCGGGGTCACCCGACTGAAAGAGCCTTCACTTGTTTACGGAACAATAACCCTAATAGACTGTCGAAGTCTAGGATCGATCTAATCTTGGCATCAGAAGACCTGGGTGGGGGGCTTACCTTGTCAGCAATACTGCCGACTAGCTCACACCCGGGTTTGGACCATAGGATGTGTATGGCAGTCTGGACCTTCCGAAAACGCCCGGATCAGGGGGCCAACTATTATCAACTCAACACCTCCCTGCTCTGGTCTGTTTCCTTTCAAAGATACCTACAGCAGGTCTGGAACTATTGGAAGGATACCCGCTCCCAACACGATTCCCAGATCACTTGGTTCAACAACGGACTGTTCTTTCTGGCTAAAAAATGCAACGAATATTCCAAACACCTAGCTGCACAGCGATATCAACAAGAAATCACGATAATGAAAAATCTTATGGATGCCGAACAAAAATTATTTTTGCAAGAGCAGGAATCAACTACCACAGAAATACAAACCCAAATACATGACCTGAAATCTCAGCTCTTGAAGCATGCATAGTATCGATGGCAAGGAGCCCAGACAAGGGCAAGATTATCTAGACTTACATCTGAAGGTATGATGAATTCGCATTTCTTCAATCTAGCCAAACCGCGATTTAAAAGAACAACGATCGAGGCGCTCTACGAGCCACAAGCTATAGACTCGGATCCAGTCGTGTCCACGGCCCGATGCACCAAGATAACATACGACTTCTACAAAGATCTTTTCGCCTCGCACATGAGTATTTCTAATGTACAGGACCACGGACGACAACTAAGTGAATTTCTGGACCCCGTTAACAAGTCATTAACACCCGAACAATGTGTATCCTTAGAGGCTTCAATCTCCAAACAAGAAATCTGGACAGCCCTCCTGCAAATGGAGGAAAAGGCAACGGGGATCGATGACCTCCCTAAAGAATTCTGGGAGACCACGTGGGATTTTATGAGTCAGGATACCATGGACTTTTATAAAGAAGTGTGGCAGATAGGGAAAATGGGTGAGAGAGTGGGGCAAGGAATACTGACTCTCTTATATAAAAGGGAAACAAAATGAACATTAGAAACCATCGCCCCATCACACTCCTCACAATAATATATAAAATGTTGTCTAAAGCCCTAGCTAACAGAATGATCCCGGTGATGGAAGACATCATTCATCCCTCCCAAACCGGTTTCATGAAAAACAAGAATATACAGGAGAATATTTTGTTAATCCATGAAATACTCCAACTCACGAGACACTCCCGGGTCAATCTTTCGTCATTGGGTCCAGATCCTGCACCAGAATGCAACCACCTTCATCCAAGTCAACGGGTGTATAGCTCCCCCTTTACGACTACAACGTTCAGTCCGCCAGGGGGATCCGATCGCTTATTTTCTCTTCCTAGTTATCATGGAAGCACTAGCTGCGAACCTCCGGGCAAACAAAAATATCACCAAAATTCGAATTTCACACATCCCGGAGGAAAAAATTCCAGTGTGTTCCCTCTTTGCTGACGATCGTACAGTCTTAGCTGACGTCACTCATAATAATATGAAGGAAATTCAGCTAATGATGGAAAAATTCGCTAAAGTTTCCGACATGACAGTCAATTGGGCGAGTAAAACTCAAGGGTGGTGGATCCACTACCAAGGGGGACGCCTCCCTGAGTCCCCAAGTATTAAATGGATGTCAGTTGCCATTCGTGAAACTGTCTTATAATGCGAGAGCTCATCATACACAAAAAAAACATTCATTCATAACATGCATCATTTTTGTCCAGTTGCCCTTCACGCAAGCAGAAAAGTGTAACGAGAGCTTGATATGCACATATTCACACAGACTGGGTGAGGAAAAACTCACGTTCAAGACTGTCATATCGAATCACATATCAAACGGTAAAAGATTCTCACACATTCTCATTTATTGAAATCTGGCTATATAGGTGGTAGCTAGCGAGTGGGGGAAGTCTCGACGGGTCAATCTCGGCTTTGCCGGATCGAGGGCACATCCCAAAATTGCATCGAAGCGAAAATTCAAGACCTTCAAGACTAACTAACACTAAAGTGCACATGCTGGAAAACCGACAGATACCTCATCAAAGACGAAACCTGCAGAACACGTGGCCCTGACAGCGTGAGTGCGACAGCGTGTATGTGCTGTCTCTTATACACATCTAGATGTGTATARGAGAAAAGTAGGGGACGGAGAAAGGGACCACTATCTATGCTTTCTGGACAAGATGAAGATCGACTCCTCTAACCCACTTCGCCCTCCTAGTCTTTCAGATTTTGTTGAATTTTTCCCACCTCCCCCCCTGACTTTGGTGGACATGAAATGGTATAGGGGAGGTAGTGGGTAAATGGCAGATCATGGGTATGAGGGGCAAGGAGGTAGGGGGCTCGGCAAAGGTAGGGCTAGGTAGGGGAAGGAAGTTCCAGGCAGGCTGGGAGATGCCGGAGACCTTGGGGTCAGGTTCATCTGGCTGCAGATCTGTACTTACATGAATCTCTCTTTTGTTGAAAAGGACGTTGGACCCGATTTCCAGCAGGTGATGTTCCCCACCAATAGATAAAGCCCCCCTGACAGTACTAGAGGTGTCTGTTCTTATCAACACCCCTAGTGCTCTCAATGAGTGTTTGTTGTAAAAAAAAAAAAAAAAAGATCATAGGCTTTTTGAAAATCTATGATCACGAAGGCAGAGTTTTATTTAGATTGACGAGTTAATTTAGGTGAGATAGGTGAGATATCAAATCATGCAATCACAGATAAAAAACAAAAACCAAATGACAAGTCAATTTAACCATTTCGTTAACTAAAAGAATATTATATTGAATATGTCTCAAAGTCTCGTTAATGAACCCCGTTTGAGAGGGATGAATAATGTTAGTCATGACAGGAATAAGTCAGTTGGCGAAGACTGTGGCTAACAACTTATAGACAACTATCAACAGGGTTATAGGTTTGTAATTTTACTACTTTCTAATGTTAGTTTTTCCCCCTTTGTTATATAGCAAAGTAAGGATACCTTGGGTCCTTGACCTTTTATTTTCCCTATGTGTCGTCTTTTTTTTTTCTTTTTGTGAAGTAACGAGTTGATACGAGCATCCCCCTTAAGCAGGTCCTGATATTGAAGACTCCATCTGTTGGTGGGGAGGGGCACGTGTTGGAAATCGGATCCAAGACCCCCGTATATCTTAGAAGTATTGTAATGGTTATATAAACATGTGTATGCAGTGCAAACATTGATTGCGTCTTCCGTGTGGGTTGTTCCTAAATGTGATGTCAACAAAGTGTCTCCCGTGTAGGAGTGTCGTCAAGATTTCATCTAGGAGCAATGAGCTTTCCAAATGCTCCTTTTGTGTTTGAGTAAGAGATTGTGTTAAGCGGTCCAGGCAACCTATTTATGGAAATCCCGCGATCTTTCTCATTTTTCTGTGCAAAAGAATGTTGAACCTGTGTCCCAACATGCTTTGTTTTCTGTACACTTTGTAATGTCGGACCCGTTTTCCAACAGGTACAACTACCCACCAATATACTTGAACTATATCTATTGCAACCCTCAATCTAGGAGGTTCTCTCACGACATCCTAGACAAAGGAAACGCAACATAATGTTTTAAACTGCCAGTACCTTTCCCCGCTTGAAATCTAAGACGTGTCGGGTAACACGGTAGCCAAGCGGGAGAGGGCCGTCGTTGATAAATCGAACAGCGGTCCATTTTTGTTTCGGGCCTCCGACACTGCCCGCAACCGACATATGGGAAAGGTACTGGTGGTTTAAAAGGAATAAT